TCCCAGCTCCCCAACCCCACCAACCTCCAGAGCACCACACAATGTAGGTTTGTCCTCCAAAGCAGACCTCCAGGGCTGGTGTTCAGCAGTTCTAGGCTTCCACCCTCTCCCCACTCCATTTCTCTTCCTCCTGCTGGTGAGCTGGGGTGGGGGAAGGGCTTAAGTCCCCCTGGATCAAGGCTTTCATATGTTACCCTGTTCCATGAGGTCTGCTCTGTTCCTGAGGTCTCTATGCAGTCTGGTGCAGCCTTCTTTCCTGTTGCGGTTTTACAGCCAGTTGTATTAACTATTCACACTATATGTGGTTTGGGGAGGAATTCTCTGTTTCACCTCTCACACCGCCATCTTGAATCTGTCCTTCTAGCTCTTTTTCTCAGAACTTAACTCTCCAGAGGATTCCTGGCTCTGTGAGATTAGTGTAATCAATATGAATATCATTTTAACATAGTATTTTTAAAAATCAAAATTAAAGATATAACTCCAAAAAATAAACAAAATATAAACATTTTAAAAATAGGTTGGTATGCTGTCATGCCACACCACCAAATCTGAGATGAAAGGAAAACCATGTGCTCCCATATAAATGTTTTTCTATATTTTAATGTTTTTTTCAAGAGAGTGTATTTGAAAAAAATGTTGAAACATTGAAAAGCAGGGATATTAAAACTCACATCATTTTAGTATAAATATTTTATTTATAACAAAACCAGAATTTACTATGATTTTATTTTTCTGATTTTGATAGGATCAAATTCATCAATAATATCTTTAAAAGTCTACTTTTGGGAAAAACTAACCATTTATAAAATACATGCATGAATATAGTAATTCACATTTTTTCTTATTTTGTGGTTATTAAAGAATAATTGGTATGTAATAGTGTGTTTCAGGTGTAAATATAGATGTGTGTCAGATTTAAATATATATGTATTATGTAATGGTCACCACAGTAAGTCTAGTTGCCATCTGTCACCATACACTGTTGATAGAGTATTATTGACTATATTTCCTATCTGCATATTATATTTCCAGGTCTCATTTACTTTATAATGGAAGAATGTACCTGCCTTCACTTATTTCATCCATCTCCTAACTCCCTTCTCTCTGACAACCATCAGTTTTTTTAATATATATATGAGTCAGTTTATGTTTTGTTTTGTTTGTTCATTTGTTTATTTAGAGTCCACATTTTAGTGAAATTATATAATATTTGTCTTTATCTTATTTCTCTTTATTTGTAATCTTTGGTTTCACTATCAGGGTAATGCTTGCCTCATAGAAGCAGTTTGAAAGTGTTCCCTCTGCTTCAACTTTATGAAATAGTTAGAGAAGGATAGTTATTAACTAAGGAGAGATATTAAATATTTGGTAGAATTTACCTGTGAAGCTGTCTTATACTGAACTTTTATTTTTTGGAGATTTTGACTACTGATTCTATTTTATTACTAATCATCAGTCTGTTCAGATTTTCTGTTTGTTCCTGATTCAATGTAGGAGGATTACATTTGCTCTAAACTTCTCTCTCAGAACTGCTCTTGCTATGTCCCATAGATTTTGAAATGTGAATTCATTTTCAGTTGTCAAAGTTTTTTTTTAATTTGATTGCTTCATTGATCCATTAGTTGTTAAGTGGCATGTTGTTTGGACTCCATGTGTTTGTGCTTTTTCCAGGTTTCTTCTTGTAAGTCATTCATTTTTTTAATTTTTTTTATTTTGGTATCATTAATCTACAATTACATGAAGAACATTATGTTTAATAGGCTTCCCCCTTCAGGAAGTCCCCCCCACAAACTCCATTACAGTCACTGTTCATCAGCTTAGTAAGACGCTGCAGAATCCCAACTCATCTTCTCTGTGTTGTACAGCCCTCCCTGTGTCCCCCCCACTACACATGCTAATTGTAAGGCCCCCTTTCTTTCTCCCCGCCCTTGTCCCTCCCTTCCCACCCATCCTCCCCAGTCCCTTTCCCTTTGGTAACTGTTAGTCCATTCTTGGGTTCTGTGATTCTGCTGCTGTTTTGTTCCTTCAGTTTTTTCTTTGTTCTTATACTCCACAGATGAGTGAAATCATTTGGTATTTCTCTTTCTCCACTTGGCTTATTTCACTGAGCATAATAC